TGTCTATGGTTATTGGTTATTTACTCAGTTTAATAGCCATTTATTTATTATTTTAAATATCCGCATAATATTTACATAATAAACACACATATGAAATGATAATTCAGAAGAAGATTTTTGATACATAAATGCGTCAAGCGCAATCTAGGCGGATTTGCCCATTCTCCTTTGGCGAATCGTGCTGTTTCTTTCTTCTCTGAAAGGAAAACGCGCACTATAAACGAAAACGGATTCACATCATCAAAGACGCCGCGACCGGCGCGCCAGCGCTGCACTTGTCTTGCCAGCGGGCGCGCGGGCGGCGCGTCGCCCGACCGTGCTTGCCGCAAAACAACATATTATGTGTGTGTGTGTGTGACTGTGACTGTGATTAAATGTGTTCGGAATTTCATGACGTGGGCAAATCAGTCAGGAAGAGTTATTTCCTTCACTAAGCTCGTAAGTTAAACCGATTTGCTCTGTATAATTTTTCGCCGTTTGCTCAAGTTTTAATTAAACGAGGCAACTAACATCAACAATAAAAAAGAAGTTCTTACACTAACAGACAGTCTTTACCGATTTAAAATCGTGACAGTCATATTAACTTTATAGGATTTTTAATTGCTCTAACAGAAGATTTATTTTATTGATTGATTACCTGTGCTTTATGAAATAATATTCAAAGGTATTGTGTATCAGTGAATAAATAATTATAATATAGCATATAAGACTATTTTATTGTAATGTTTTTAAATAGTGTGGAATCAAAGCGGATAGTAGGTAAGCGCCGAGTCATCTGTGCGTGTCGTAGGTATCTAGATAGTCAGCCGCCGGCGCCGGTCGTCGCCCCCGGCCGGGGCTGATCTGGACTGGAGGCATTCATTAAGTTTCCGTTTTTTTAGGAGTGCTTATTTTAAGTGGTTTTACAACTTCTATGTTGACGTGTTTAAAATGAATAATTACTCATAAGGAAGAAATGACAAATAATAAACAAATAAAAAATAAAACACGTAAAAAAAATTTAAAAAAATCCGAAAAAAAATCAGGCATACTCTATACACGTAACCCACCAATCTCACGAAGTTTCATTGAAACATTCAATTTCACCCTATATACACTAAACACAAAGCCTACACCTAAACTTCACAAAATATGTACAATCATAGAAAACAAATATTTATCATATTTATATATATTTTATAGGTATGTACCATAACTTATTATCTTATATTTAGATATACGCCCCTTTTTATTTTTTGTTTTAAATAATAATTATAATTATACACATATAAAAATCGTTAGTGTTTGGCATCCACTTGTCAGATAAAGGACCCAGTTGAAAACCAGCGCCAGTGCATACTGCACTGACATTATGCTGAACTGGGCCCTTTTCAGCGCAGCCGTGGATACGGAGTGGTCTCAGTCACTGTAAGATTTAACTACCTATAACAATTTTATCTGTATCCGTGTTCTGTACTGAATAAACGATTTTGTTTGTTTGTTTGATAAAAAAAAATAGAAAAAAACAAAATATTTTATTTTTTAGCAAATGAAACTGCTAGTATGGCAGTCTGAGCAAGTCACCGGGTTGAATACATCACTCTGGATCGAAGATCTATGATAATCAACGGTTAATAATTTAGTGCTCAATGAGTGCTAACAGTATGTGATAAAAAATTACGAAATTTTAATTTTTTAAATTGTTTATCAATATAAACTGCTAGTATGACAGTCTGAGCAAGTGACCGGGTTGAATACATCACTCTGGATCGAAGATTTATGATAGTCAACGGTTAATAATTTAGTGCTCAGTGAGTGCTGCCAGTATGTGATAAAAAATAACGAAATTTTAATTTTTTAAATTTTTTAACAATATAAACTGCTAGTATGACAGTCTTAGCAAGTGACAGGGTTGAATACATCACTCTGGATCGAAGATTTATGATAGTCAACGGTTAATAATTTAGTGCTCAATGAGTGCTGCCAGCATGTGATAAAAAATTAGGATTTTTTTTAAATTTTTTATCAATATAAACTGCTAGTATGCCAGTCTGAGCAAGTGACTGGGTTGAATACATCGCTCTGGATCGAAGATTTATGATAGTCAACGGTTAATAATTTAGTGCTCAATGAGTGATCTGTATAGAGTGATGTATTCAACCCTGTCACTTGCTCAGACTGTCATACTAGCAGTTTATATTGATAAAAAATTTAAAAAATTAAAATTACGTTTTTTTATCACATACTCATCGAGAGTGATGTATTCAACCCTGTCACTTGCTCAGACTGTCAAACTAGCAGTTTTTATTAATAAAAAATAAAAAAATCCGAATGTTTTATCACATACTGGCAGCACTCATTGAGCACTAAATTATTAACCATTGATTGTCATAGATCTTCGATCCAGAGTGATGTTTTTAACCCAGTCACTTGCTCAGACTGTCATACTAGCAGTTTATATTGATAAAGAATTAAAAAAAAAACCTAATTTTTTATCACATACTGGCAGCACTCATTGAGCACTAAATTATTAACCGTTGATTATCATAGATCTTCGATCCAGATTGATGTATTCAACCCTGTCACTTGCTCAGACTGTCAAACTAGCAGTTTTTATTAATAAAAAATAAAAAATCCGAATGTTTTATCACATACTGGCAGCACTCATTGAGCACTAAATTATTAACCGTTGATTATCATAGATCTTCGATCCAGAGTGATGTATTCAACCCGGTGACTTGCTCAGACTGCCATACTAGCAGTTTCATTTGCTAAAAAATAAAATATTTTGTTTTTTTCTAATTTTTTTTATCACACACTGCCAGCACTCATTGAGCATTAAATTATTAACCGTTGATTATCATACATATTCGATCCGGAGTGATGTATTCAACCCGGTTACTTGCTCAGACTGTCATACTAGCAGTTTATATTGATAAAAAAATAAAAAAATCCAAATGTTTTATCACATACTGGCAGCATTCAAAGAGCACTAAATTATTAACCGTTGACTATCATAAATCTTCGATCCAGAGCGATGTCTTCAACCCAGTCACTTGCTCAGACTGTCATACTAGCAGTTTATATTGATAAAAAAATAAAAAAAATAAAATTTCCTAATTTTTTATCACATACTGGCAGCACTCATTGAGCACTAAATTATTAACCGTTGATTATCATAGATCTTCGATCCAGAGCGATGTATTCAACCCGGTGACTTGCTCAGACTATCATACTAGCAGTTTTTATTGTTAAAAATTAAAAAAATATATATATTCCTATTTTTTTATCACATATTGGCAGCACTTATTGAGCACTAAATTATTAACCGTTGATTATCATAGATCTTCGATCCAGAGTGATGTATTCAACCCAGTCACTTGCTCAGACTGTCATACTAGCAGTTTATATTGATAAAAAAATAAAAAAATCCAAATGTCTTATCACATACTGGCAGCACTCAATGAGCACTATATTATTAACCGTTGACTATCATAAATCTTCGATCCAGAGTGATGTATTCAACCCGGTCACTTGCTCAGACTGTCAAACTAGCAGTTTATATTGAAAAAAAAATTAAAAAATTAAATTTCGTTATTTTTTATCACATACTGGCAGCACTCATTGAGCACTAAATTATTAACCGTTGACTATCATAAATCTTCGATCCAGAGTGATGTATTCAACCCTGTCACTTGCTCAGACTGTCATACTAGCAGTTTATATTGACAAAAAATTTTAAAAATTAAATTTCGTTATTATTTATCACATACTGGCAGCACTCATTGAGCACTAAATTATTAACCGTTGACTATCATAAATCTTCGATCCAGAGTGATGTATTCAACCCGGTCACTTGCTCAGACTGTCATACTAGCAGTTTATATTGATAAAAAATTAAAAAAAAAAATTCCTAATTTTTTATCACATACTGGCAGCACTCATTGAGCACTAAATTATTAACCGTTGATTATCATAGATCTTCGATCCAGAGTGATGTATTCAACCCTGTCACTTGCTCAGACTGTCAAACTAGCAGTTTTTATTAATAAAAAATAAAAAATCCAAATGTTTTATCACATACTAGCAGCACTCATTGAGCACTAAATTATTAACCGTTGATTATCATAGATCTTCGATCCAGAGCGATGTATTCAACCCGGTGACTTGCTCAGACTATCATACTAGCAGTTTTTATTGTTAAAAATTAAAAAAATATATATATTCCTAATTTTTTATCACATACTGGCAGCACTTATTGAGCACTAAATTATTAACCGTTGATTATCATAGATCTTCGATCCAGAGTGATGTATTCAACCCAGTCACTTGCTCAGACTGTCATACTAGCAGTTTATATTGATAAAAAATTAAAAAAAATAAAACTTCCTAATTTTTTATCACATACTGGCAGCACTCATTGAGGACTAAATTATTAACCGTTGATTATCATAGATCTTCGCTCCAGAGTGATGTATTCAACCCAGTCACTTGCTCAGATTGTCATACTAGCAGTTTATATTGATAAAAAATTAAAAAAAATAAAATTTCCTAATTTTTTATCACATACTGGCAGCACTCATTGAGCACTAAATTATTAACCGTTGATTATCATAGATCTTCGATCCAGAGTGATGTATTCGAACCAGTCACTTGCGTATGTATGTAGTATGCAGATTTGTTTGTTGTTGTGATTTCTTGCGGTTTTTGTATATATTTTTTTGATTGGGTAGTAACAAGTGGGTTAATTTAATGATCATCATGATTTTTATCAGAATAGCTTACTGCTCAACAAAGCCACATTTATCATATCATCAGTTTTATGATATTCCTGGCTATGGGAAGCCCTGGAATTTTAGTCACCAACAGAAACACAACACTGCTCATAAGTAGTGTTATTTAACAGCAACCTTTTCAAAGAGGTGCTCCGAATTGAGTAGAAAATTGATACACCCACTTATATCTGTACCTTTCTTTAGTAATAATAACAGAAACAATGGAAATGAGACTATGATACTTACAAGTATGTAATATTAATTGTGTTATTGGCGTTGATACCACACAGAGTATTGATTGCTGTGTTGAACAAGCTGTCGCTGCGCCACACCCCATATGTCTCCAGCATCACCAGAATAATTAATAGTTTCCAATATGACTGTAATTAATAAATTTTAATATTTAAAGTAGGTACCTTTAAAGAGTAAATACAAAACATCAAGTAACTACCTACAATTATTCAATAGGTCGCACTGTAAAATGTTTAAAATTTAATTATCAAATTCAATATTGTGCTAGCAAATTTTAGTAAACAAATGTTGTAAGAATTACCTTGAACTCTGTGTTGTACAAAATGTGCCTCTGAGCTTCCTTCGACATCAGCACCAGATCAATCATTACAATGACTGGGTCGTATTCTACATATTTATCAACAACTGCTTTACATTTTACCTGAAATTTTTTAAAAGAAAAATCTATTATTAAAATTCATTAGATGAATACCATTTTTGACATTGCTATCTCTGTATGATTGTCTAAATAGTTGGTTAAGTTTATAACAGATAATAACAATAATAATCAATTATTTTCCATCAATATAGCTAAAAAAAATTTGACAGAGATGTAAAAACAAAAATAAGATACAGGTTAACTGTGACCTCAGGACTTTTTAGCTGACAGAAATGCAGATAGGTTTGCATCTATTGTTATACATACCAACAATTGAAGATTAATATAGTAACTGAGCTCTCATTATCTTCATGTGGTAATACAATTACAGAAAGCTGTAACTTTGAAACTTTTTGGCATATAAGCTTACCTCTGACCTTACTTGGTAACGATTGAAATGAACTTCTGCGATGTATATTACCTTGGAATCACTAAAACTACTATCCTGTCCTATTATTCTTTTAAATGAATGAAATACGTACACATTTCGTTAGTTTTGTAACTGAAGGCCCGTAGGTTTTGAACAGCGCAGCTGCCGGCTCCCCACAGTTCACACATTTAAACCGTTTCATGTTCAAGGTTATCTGCGATTTTACATGCAGCAATATATATTTACAAATGGCATCTACAGAACTAAACGGTTTGTGTTTATTCTATTGAAGTTCTTTTTTGCAAAAGACGAGCACACAACAACAAACAACACCACAAACACCAAGCACCTGATCTTGACATTCTTGCTTGACAACTCGCTCATTGAATGCAAAACGGCCACAAATCAAAATTTTTCGAAAATTGTTTTATTGCAAAATTAGTGTTTTTAAGTATAGTATTTTACGTTTTGCTGAAGACACCCGTCGTTTTCGCTCATTTTGATGCTAAACTGACCACCCGCCATTTTGTCAGTTGCGACCCAGAACTCAAAGCGAACGCACGGCAGTTTCGTACAAAACGGCCACATTTCGAAAAAATACCCAATACGAAATCTAGTGTTCTGTGCAAAAAGGCCACATTTTGGAATACGTCCGTATTGCATTCAAATTTCAAGTAAGTACATTCAGAATTATTAATGCTACAGTGTCTTGTTTTGGAATACGTATATTTTGCATTCTAATATGAAATAAAAGAAAGCCTTTTTTCGAAATCTGTACATTTTGCTTTCAAATAAGAAATAAAATATAGCCGTACTTCAAAATCCGTACATTTTGCATTCTATTATGAAATAAAACATAGCCATGTTTCGATATCTGTACATTTTGCTTTCCAATATGAAATAAAACAATGTGACTATTTACAAATGTGTACTTTTTGAACTAAATAATAAACAAATAAATATTTCACCACGTACACCCTGCGCCATCTACTCACAAAGTAAGCAATTAAAGCTTGTGTTATAGGTACTAGATAACTGATAAACATACATATACGTATTATTTTTTTTCTAAATACATACATTATATAGATAAATTACACCCATGTACAGCTAATCTGGATATTTAAGATTTTTTGAGCCTAAATTGACAATATTTATGCAAGGTGCACATTATATTGTGAGTAACATTGCATTATTATTTACAGAATGAGTAGCAGAACGAGATTTTTTTTTTAAAATGGCAGAAAATAATACAAATGAAGAATCGGATAGGATACAAAACCGTCCCAATAACAAATCTAAAATTCAAGAATGTGATGTTCCAGCATTATGCTTCAAATTGATGGCATTCATTGTTATGCATACGACAGCACGGGTGATGCCCTATATACCGGCCGCGCCAACATTTCACGGGAAAACGTCATCGAGAGCCGGAACAAACTTGTGTCTGAAGTCGAAACTTTGTTAAACCAAGTAACGAATTGGGGCCAACTTAATCTAGTCCAATATAACCCTACGAAGACACAAGTATGCAAAAAAAATACCATTTGTCGTATCTCCTCTTTTTGAGAACACTCCTCTAACTGCCTCAGCTAGTATTGGAATTCTTGGCGTTGACATATCGAGCGACGTGCAGTTTCGGGATCATTTAGAGGGCAAGGCCAAATTGGCCTCTAAGAAGCTTGGTGTGGTCAATAGATCGAGATTTTATTATAAGGCACAGGTTCGGCCTCACATGGAGGAGACTGCTCTCATCTTTGGGCGGGGGCACCCCAGTACCAGCTTCTCCCTTTAGATCGCATCCAGCGCCGGGCGGCTCGAATCGTCGACGACCAGGACCTTCCCGATCAGCTTGATCCTTTGGCTTTGCGTAGGGATGTAGCATCACTCTGCATCTTCTATCGCATTTATCACGGCGAGTGTTCTGAGTAATTGTTCCGATTAATTCCAACTGCTGCATTTCGCCATCGTACATCGCGACCAAAATTTCATCCCCATCATCTTGATGCGTGGCTATCCACAACCGTGCATTTTTGTCAAAATTTTTTACCACGTACGACAAAACTGTGGAATATATTGTCGCCTGCAGTGTTTCTGGACCAATACGACCCAAAAACCTTCAAAAAAAGATCGTACTCCTTCCTTAAAGGCCGGCATCGCATTTGTGATACTCCTGGTGTTGCAAGTGTCCATGGGCGACGGTGATCACTTACCATCAGGTGAGCCGTCTGCTCGTATGCCCCCTATAACATAAAAAAAAAACTGTTTTGTATGGCATGAGGGGGAAGGAGGTCTTATTATACCAAAAGATATTATACCAAAATATTACCAGAGCTTTTACCAAAATTTATAAATGTGCCTTAATGACAGTATTTTTTAGTCAGTGATCAATTACTGCTTGATAATTAGAAGAATATTATTTTAATAATATAAGACTATCTTAGATAATAATATAACATTTGTGATTTTAGCCTTACAGTCTGTGATTTAATAATAAATAATTTAATTGTAATAAGTACGTAAGCCTTAGCATATTTTGAAGAATTTTATTTTTATAATTATGCCTTGAATATAAGACTGTCTTAGATAATACTTTTGTGCCTAACTTTAGAAAAGCAGTCTGTGATTTATACTTAAGTACTACTTTACTATACATAATTTCATATTATATTCAAGAGTATTATTTTATTGTGCCATAAGTAAATATATAACACTGCCTTTGATAATACTTTTTTGTGATTTAAGCCATATAGTGTGTGATAGTAATGAATAGTTCAATATTGTACTACTTTAAGCCTTGTCGATGTTGACGTTTCAGCAATTTAATAAAAATAAAATATTATGCGTTTATCGTTTTCGAAGAATAATTTTGTTGCTATGAATATTTTGAGATTTTAATTTAAACAAATTTTGCATTATCTAAAATTGATATCGTATATTTAAGGGTAAACCGACAGAAAAATGACTTCTTTTGTGATGCTTGTTTGAATATTTTTATCTATCCAGTTTTATTGGGAGTTATTTTGAGTTTATTTTTTATACGTCATTTAACCACAGAAAATGCTCAGGTAGTTTTATTACGATGTTCTTTGGGCTCATGTCAGTCTTCAAAAATTTTTAATTACACGTTTTGATTTAAAAAAGAGACTATTGCTACTAGACTACTATTGCTATTTTTGTTCTTTTAAAATATTTTTTTTCAGTATATAACCTGAAATAAAGCATGTTTTCATTTAAAATGTGTTTAATTTTTGAGATAATTATCTTGACATCGATTAAAATTTTGAATGCAAAAAAGGCTTTTGTAGTTTTTAATAGATTGGGCGAAGGTTGTGACGGCAGTCATTATTTTTCAAAATAGAGCTAAAAATTACAAAAACAATGATATATAACATCATAATATTTGATAAAATAAAACATATTATTTTTCATAAAATCATTTTCTGAGTTTTGTTTTGGCTCTCCTGTAAAAAAAGAGGTTTTTGGTTTGTGGCCGTTTTGCATTCAATGAGCGAACTGTCTGTCTGTCGTTCACTGTCATCTTTTTTTTTTTTATTTAGAAATTTAACGGCTTTGGACAAGTCCATACAGCCTATACATTATTAACAGTCTTCATTGATAGTAAGTTTCTCTTCAAATGTTCATAAAAGTAGAAGTTATGTAGGTGTAAAGGTGTTCTTAGGTATCTTCGTTTTCCAATAGAGATGGCAAGAGGCGGGGAATTTCTTCATGTTTGTAAATCTTCATTAAGCCCTCTATAAGGAGTATTCTTTGAATATTAAAAGCAGGACAAAATAGTATCAAATGATCCAATGTAGCGACAGCTATCTCACAATATTCACACTTGTCTGAAGACATCATCTTCAGTCTTTTCAAATGCGCTGCAAATTTTCCATGTCCAAGTTTGAGTTTGTTTAAAGTGGTAATAAATTTTCTACTCGGTGACTTCCACTTAAAATACCAGGGTTTGCGAGGAATTATTTTTTGTATATTGGCATACCAATTTCCTTTAAAAACTTTGGTGGCTTCCCAGTCTTTATTCCAATAGTCGAACATTCGAATTTTTAATAACGAACCGTAATCAGTTAGAGGTACTGGAGGAGTGTAATGTTGCGAATTAATGAATCTTGGATGTTGAATCTTCATAAATTTATCAACTATTTCATTGCCTGTTATTCCTGAGTGCGAAGGTACCCATATAAATTCAATTACTTTGTCTTCTTTTTCTAATTCCAATATCATTTCTCTTATTCTGGTAATCTAAGTGTTATTTTTATAGGAAATTTTAACATTTTCCAGACAGGTAAGTACACTTAGTGAATCAGTTACAATTAAAAAAAAACTGGAATTTCTGTTTCCTCGAATATATTGCAATGCGGTATATATGGCGTAGGCCTCTGCTGTAAATATTGACGAATTCTTATCAAGTGTAAAACATCTTCCAAATTTACCTCCCGAATCATAGTATGCTGCCTTAGTTACTTCTTCTGTTTTCGACCCATCAGTGTAAATGTTAGTATATCCTGATTTCTTAGTATTAATAAAGTGCAAAAACTCAGAATTATTATTGACTCTGTGAGAGCAAACACGAGGAACAGTGGTTTGAATGTCTATTGTACTGAGTTCCCATGTTTCTTTTCGATCTATGTGTTGACATAAAAAATCTAATTCCCTTATATGCTCACATTGATAAGAATAATTGTTAGAACTATATAAATAAATGTATATCTTATTTGCTAAAATTTTTACACGTGACTTTTCTGTGAGGTATCTCATTCTTACTAAAATAGGCGGAATACCTGATTCAATTTGTAAGGAATTTATTGGTGTGGAGCAGAAGGCTCCGGTTATTATTCTCAATCCCTTATTTTGCATTACATCTATTTTATTATACAACGTTGAAGAAAGATATTTCCCATAGATTGTTAGTCCGTAGTCGTAATGACTTCTAACTATAGACTTGAAAACAATATTTAAAATTTTTGGGTCCATTCCCCATGTTACACTTGCTAAATGACGCATTATATTTACAGATCTTTGCATTTTATTTATAACATTATGTACATGAAAATGAAAATTTAACTTAGTATCAAATATTATACCAAGAATTTTTTTAACTTCTACAACATCTTTATTTACAGAGCAATACACAATATTTACAGAATCATAATAATCATTTTTTTTATTAAATATCATTACGGAACTTTTGGAAGGATTAACGTCTAGTTTAAGTTTGATTTTGTAATAAAGATAAAGATTTTGTAAGGCTTCGTTTAAAGTAGACTCTGCTTGCAACAAACTCCTGTTAGAAGTATACAACACAATATCGTCAGCGTATTGTAGTATAGATAGTTTGGGGAGCTTTAAGAAACTATGT